AAATAAACCGTTTGTTTTCAATTTTTAAGGAAAAAAAAAAGTTTTAAAATAAAAATTACAGTTAGTATTGCATCATAAAAAAAAATATTGATTTATTTTTTGATAAAATTTTTTTTACGAGTTATAAACTGAAGAAAGAAAATTGATAAATATATCAAAGAGAATTTTTTATTTATTACCTTGTAGAATTGATTGGAAATAAATTAACGATATGGTATTCAAGATTATTTAAAAAATGAAAATAATATCCATCAAGTTTATATTTTAATTTAAGCTTATCAGATTAATTAAATTCTTTTGACATTTTATATAAAACTATTACTTTACACAATCTGATAATGAATATATGAAGCAAAATCGATTCAATATAAAATATAAAAATTTTAATATCACTAATGAAACTATCTGAAATGACTGGAATAATTAAAAATCACAATCCATATTCCATGGCATAATTAAATTCAATAACTTCATTAGCTCCATGACTATATCAGACTAATAAGTTTTTTTCTATATCACAGAAAGTCGGCGTAATAAAAGCTGATAGACCACTCGCTAGAGAGACCTGTAAAATGATAACACAGCAAGTTCATACAAAGCGGGTGGTAAAAGGATTGCGATGAAAAAAAGAAATACTTAAAACTATCTAGAGTCTCATTATCGTTCGTTTGGAGTCACTGAACTGCTTAAAGGAGGACAAACTGTATTTTTTACGACACACGCGCGAAGAATTTTCTGTCGTGGAATTTATCATGTGCTGGTCGAAGAAAAGAGAAAGATCCGATCTTTTCGTGTTCGAGAATGAAACTGAAAAAGAGAAAAGAAGAACACAAAAAATAAGACGAGACTAAAAGAGCAAAAAAGAAGGCAAAAGGGAGAAAAGCAAGAAGGGTACGTGCGATGCCTGCAATTAACCACATTTTTACCAGGAGAATCCAGGCTGAAATCAAGCGTTGGTGATGCGGCCAAGTTACCGCGAGAGATCACGTTCTTATCGTTTACGATCAGGACGTTCGCGGCGGGGATTTAGTTTTATCTTGCACTAAGAACTTTCTGTTAAAGAATATCTACGTCACACTGTTCTTTCATGTACGTTCAATCTCCCCGCTCAAGATAAAGATACAGGTAATGAATTTAAATAAATTAAATTACAGTGATATCCTGAATTATCCCAACAGCTCTTAGCCATCCGTAATAAACCAACTATAAGCTTAATTTAACGATCAAACCGTTGAAAAAAAATTTTTGTATCCTCAATTACACAAAAAAATCATCCAAGTATTCATGATCATTAGCACCAATTAAATGAACTCATTTAGTAATATTTCCACCATTTTATGAAACTATTTTAAATATATATTGAGGATATAATTATATATATAAATTTTTTTGTTTTTATAGGTGCTATTATTTAATCTGACTTAAATGGCAAACAACTAAACAACTTCGTTAGAAAGCTATTGTGAATACTGTGATTGTGAAAGGAGTTTCATCGCTGTTTAACATCGATATCATTTGGATTGGGATCTACTGATTTGCTTGGAGCTTTGAAAATATATGACACACAATTGCAGCATAAGGAAACGTAATTTCAACCTACGCATTACTGGTAAGTGTACGAGAGATCGTATTCGTATAATTTATTCCTCTTCATTCAAAAGTATCATGAGCTTTATGCTAATACGATTGGAATATTATCCTCAGTCGTATGTCACTGACCACCTACCACTTGACCACACCACATAATGTACGGCGTGCTAACCCGTTGTTATGTCGTCTCGAGAGCGAGGGGTAAATCTGAAAAGTTTCGTGTCCGATGCACTCTGCCAGAGATATACGTGTTCTTAAATGGGCGGGAGAAGCTCTTGAGCAGTTCGTTGCAACGCGTGGCATTGCGAGAGCATCAGGAGGTTATTAGTTTATAATGCAAGACACGCTTGACTAGGTTAACTCGTACTTTACTTCACTATTTATAGACCTAATGCTCAGTCATTTCTACCTGTCAGTTTCACCATGAAGGTGAATCACCTTTTCACATTTATTTACTTATACTGGATATACTATTATTTGTGTTGCACATCCTGCATTTAGTCTTACCATTATGATGCACCTTAAATGCTTTTTTAGACAGCTTTCCACACGATACTTTGTCTACATCACAAATAAAAATTTTTTCTTTACCTAAGAATAGTCAATCATTAGAGACGATATTTTTTTTCATCAACCTAACGATTTCTAAGTCAGTAGTGATATTAAGCATTGAATCTAGGTTTACATTTGAACAAAGGTAATAATAAATTTCAAAACATATGAATAATAAGAAGCTGTTATTAATTTTTATTATTCAATAAAAATTTTAACTCCAGATAGTTATTATTTATGATTAAACTGCTTGAAGGTCTCGTGTAGATAAAAACTGTTCAGCTTACAGTTATATGAGTTTTTTTAAACGTCAGTAATTTTCTTACGACATTACTGGTAAATAATTGGTATTCATCATCTCAAAATTTTTGGCATCGTAAAATATTATTCTTCACATCATCAAATAAATTGATGCTTTTTTATTGTTATTTAATTTGTTAATAGTCATCAATATTTTGAATAACAAAATTTCGAGATAAAAGAATAAAAATGATTATGCTATACCAATATCAATAGCCAATTATCATTAAAAAAAATCCATTAAAACGATAGAATAGATGATTTAACATTGGATACTCTGAATAAATTATCGTAGATTTACCAATAAAGAATTTTTTTTTGAGCGTCAATAGATTCATTAGATATCTCTAATAAAAAAGCTTATCGAAAATAAACAATTTTTTATCACATTGTGTTTGAAAAGGTTAATGATAAATCTCCAATTTTTATTAAAACTAGTCTTTTGAAACCGGCACCTTGTCTAAAAGTATGTGACAACTCTCTAATCATTCAATTACCAACAAACAAGCTGAATAATAGCCACAGATAATCTAACATTTTCAAACGTGTGTCAGGCAATTATCTAACCAGAAAAAACAATGCTATAAGTGATGCAATTGATTGGCGGTATTTTCTGTCCGTTATTCAATGAAAAATAAACCCACAGCTCATAAATTTACTATCAAGTAAAAAATATTTAGTCAAATCAATTCAAACAAGCAAGAATTATAGGTCTGATTCATCCTGTCTAACAAAATTTCAATAAAAAATGATATTTTTCTGGTCCTAATAATAAGCAAATAATCTTTGTCTCGAAGTTAAGGCGTTAAGGCGGCTTTGGTCTAATCAAGAAAGCAAATCTTGGTGTATTTTCTTTTATGAAATTATCTTTAGCAAAACGAAAAGGTCATAAAAATCATCCAATTGTCTTTTGGAGTGAAGGAAAAAATTTCATAAGATATGTTTAATGAACAAATTACTAGCTCGGTATATCTAGCATTTTTATCCGCATTCCTTGTTGAAAGTAATTGTTCATGCAGCAAGTAAGTCTTACTTGAAGGCATAGTATTCAGACTTCATTGTTAACCCGTCAGTATCACCTCTTATAGCTATCTATTACTTTCTTTCTACATTGAACCTAGTCTAAATCACTCGATGTCCACTACAAATACTTCATGAATGATCTAGACAACTATACAAATGTATGGTGAGTCTTTAACGATTAAATACATTCATACAAAGGAGTCTTAACACATGTTCGTGTCGTCAGACTTAATTGAATCAAAGAAAATTCTCTTGAAAGAGAAAATTCCAGTCAATTAATATCACGACTTATTTTCTTCTCCATGTTTACGTTGCTTGTTCTGCTCCACATCAAAAATTTCTCATCAAACTTATCATATCTTATACATAAAAAAAAAAAACAATCTTCAGATCTGTTTGAACGGCCAACGATTTCGAAATTGCAACTGATTCATTTTCACTGAGAGAAATGAATGAAATTCTAGGCATCATGAAAATGATTTCTTCAGTAATTTCTCACTATTGAGAATCACATTGCAAATATTTTACCTTAAATTAATGTATCTGCAATCCATCACAATCAGATATTAACATTCAACTGATTTCTCAATTTTTTTTTATAATTAAGAAAAAATACAATGATATTTCTTTTTTTCTCTTCACCTAACATTCAATTATTATTTCTTGCGATAGAAAATAATGAGATAATCAGTGAAAATCACAAAGAATTTCCAAGTTGCAGGTGATTTATACTGGTATTGAAGAGTATAAATAAAACTGAAACCGCGAGAATTATTTACCGAACGTCAAAAGAAGAATCGCGATCGACTTGTTGGGAAAAGCCGTGTTACGCGAACGAACCTAGTAGAATAGCGATAGAACAAGCGGCAGATTGGAATAAGTGATAGGATTTACTGTGTGCGATCGATCATCAGAGTTAGACGTGATCGATGCTTCTACAAAAAGTCGTTGGGATGATCGGAATGTTGGTGTGCGTGCTCATTCCCGCCATGTAGTACTCACTTGGGGTCCATATAGCGTGGGCTCTTGCACTTGCTATCGTATATTTCCTATTTATCGTTACTTTTTACAACACCCCAACCTCGCCCCGTGACCCTGCAACCGTATTCCAATAATTTACTGTAATTTATTCCCTGTTATGATACCGGTATAGCTTGCACATCGAATGATCTCCCGCGGCGAAATAGTACGCAAGATATAGCTTGTGTGGATTTCCGTAGGTCAAACGATAAAGGTCAGCGATGAGAACTATTTGACAAATGTTTCAGTAATTGACCATTTCTCGGCTCAATAATCTCCAACAAGTTAGTTAATATTTCTTCATAAAGAAATCAAGTTGATATTCAATAACCACTAATGGTGTGTGGACATCAATAGGTAATCAATGAATGAGATTGTGATGTTTTCTTTACCTTTTTCAAAGTGTAAGATGTAGAAATAGATTACTTATGTCATTATTATCTAAATATTTCATCAGATGTGTTAGAACTGAGATAAATATGATAATAAATAAGATAACAGGTTGAACTACTTACCAGGGTATCCTTCAGGGATTACAATTTCCGGTCCTACTTTAATGTCATGTCGATAACGATGCATCAGGAGTGTTGCAGTAATCCTAAGAGATCTCTGCTGCTGTTTATACAAAAGAATGGGTCTTCCACCACCACCTTCTACTCTGACAACTCTTGGTAATGAAAACCTATCCAAGAATTCTCGAATTGGTAAAAATCCACTACTTGAACTGGCTGCTTCTGCTGTAGCTTCTCGAGAACTTGGTAACGAGTCATCACCAGTCCCAGTAGCTTCACCGCTTGAAAGCGTGGAGAATTCACCACTTGATGACATATTGATTTTCTTCTTAAAAAATTCTTCAAGGTATTAAGACACTTCTATTCTATTCACTTGGATTTTATATCAAGATTTACTTCCACATGTTAAACATTTATTATTCACAGCACTTTTTTTCTTTGTCGTTGGCTTAGATTTAGTCTTTAATCCTAGTTCAAGCTGTCCAGTTACAATCTGAAATGAAGAAGAAAGGCTCGGTAACATTTCATTCAGTGTTAAATAACATTTTGAAGTAGGAAAAAAATTAAAAAATAAAAATTGAGATGATCTTGACGTTTGAATGATCATGACAAAAAATTCATTTAGAAGATTCTGTTACGCTTTCATCGCATTAAATATATAATCATAGCTTGTTAGGGATTGAAGTAGAACATCTGTTTGCTGAAAATTATGTATGCTGAATGAATGGTTAGAGTTCAATAGCTTAAAAAGGTTCATTACTCATGGAAAAAAGTGTTCAGGGTATTTCTGAAGCTGAAGAAAGAAAGAAGAGGTTACTGAATTGTAGGATAAGGACACAAAATGATGTATGGGTGCGTTTAGAAAAAGAGAAACGATAATTCTAGCTTAGAAGAATATCTAACAGTATAAAGAATCAATGCGTGCTTCAGTTAACGGTGATTATGTTTGCGACTCTAGACGTTGGATGATGATTATGATGAATTTATGATGGTGATTAGCACGTGGCATACCGCAACATCGCCACTAGTGTTCATGAACTGAATAAATGATGTTTTATTCCTTTTAAATCAGAATAAACCGTTCATTTATTTGCACCAACTGATCAGCATAAATTAACTGTTTTTTTATCAACTCATTGGACGTTTCAACTGTCAGACCTCCTGGATATTTCTGTGTACCATTTAGTAGATTCAATCAACATTCAATGAGATTACGATGCATCCATTCGTGACATTACCAACGATTAACTATACGCATAACTGACCATGTCATTTTACTTATTTGAAAGTTCAAGTCTACCTAGTCAACGACATATGATTAATCATCTTCCCTTTCTGCAGCAATGCGGATCTTGATCTCGTTGACAACACTCGGATCGTGAAATGCAATTGACCGTGACTAATCGTAAACCGGATGCTTACTCGTCACAACAATCGAATTATTACATTAAATCAAACCCGTAATTATAAATTACATCATTTGTTTGCTGTAGAATTGAAAATCTTCAGTAATAATTAAATTTCACGCATCAGTAACTTTTTTTTGTTATTCTTTCAAAGTAAATCCAGTTTTATAAAGACTCAGAATAGTATAAAGTAGTAGTGGATTATATATAAAAGATACGAGTAATAAACACTCATTGTTCTTATAATAAAAATTCATTTTGAATAATTTCATCATTATTGATTGTACTTGTCAAACCAGTTAAAATGTATTGTTAGATAAAACTCTCAATTAAATAATACTCAATCACGTCATTAATTTTTCATCTAATTGAAAATATCATATCATTAATAATAATTAAATCTTACATCTTGTCATTTTTTTATGTTGACAGTTTTATAAAATCTTCCACTAGTAGATCCAGTTCTTCAGGGTCTTGATGACAAATTAATTGTACGTACAAAAAATAAAAATATTTAAATCACATTTAAATTTATTACTCTAATTAATTTTATGGTAAAATCGTTTTTTTTTTCTCTCTAACTTTTATTACAAATGAACACTAATTGAAAAAAATATCAAAAATATTATGGTAACTGTCAAAATGATAACTAAAATACTGTATTACTCCAACAACAGACGTTGGACGTCCCGACACTTCGAACGAGATCGTAAGACTAAAGCGAGTGAACAGTCACGATGCGGGACTTCCTCTCAACATCCCCACCTATGTGCTCGAATAAACTACATCCACTGTCTTTTTATCCAACAAACATACGTACGTCAGGCAAACAGTCTTTTGCCTTGTCATACTTTTTTCTCAGATTTTTTTTCTAACCATTTTATCTCTTATTTTGACAAAGTATTCCAATATATTTTTATCTTAACTCGTGTCAATGATGGAAAAATAGAAAAATCCACTATTGAAAAGAAAAGAAACGCGGTTAAGTATAGATAAGACATACACCTTGATCAGGTTTGCCATATGTTTACTTGCGTCATATGGTGTACTACTTCTGCAACTATGTATCGCTAGTAGATGAGCTACTGGATCAAACAGTTATCTGAGCATACTTATACCATCTTCATATTATTCATAAATATTCTAAATGACAACTCAAACAATTAGATTGCTGTGGAAGACTTTATTACTCAATATATTCATAGCTTTATTTACTCTGTTTATTGATACAATAGAAAACCTGTTTAATCATTTTTTCGCATTTCTTTTCATTGAGTTGAAGAAAATATTTTTATTTCAATATCTTTTCTGTGAAATATTCCATTTAATATGCATTCGCAATGTAATTTTGATCATGAATAATTGATTTCAAGTTTAATTCAGCTTTTTAATCATAAAAATAAAATATACTGTATAAATAAATACTTTAATTCTAAAAATTTAAATTTTTATTTCTAAATTCAAGAGAAAAACGTTAATTTAATTGAATAAAACTAAAAAAATTAACTATAATATTTTTTCTATATATTATTACTTTCATTGTGGAGTATATCTACATCTACTTTCATTAATCATAATTTTTACCGATCAACAATCAAGCAATAATTGTATTTATTAACCAATCAATTAAATTTATTGTTTTTTAAACGTTTGGAATTTTTGATTAGCACAATAGAGATAAAAATAAGTGCAAAAAAGTAATATAATTGATTGGCAATTTGATACTTTCTCTAGCCTTCATGTCATGTAAAGTTATTAGTGCTGTAAAAATTAACACCCTTTTGTTTCGTTCGAGCACAAATTGCCTTAGACGAAATGAAGAATGACAGAGAAAGTGCGCCACAAGACTAAGCAGAATCAATGGTCAAAGAAGGCGTAAACTTCTGACAATGAAAAAAAAATTTATTACTGACATGGAAATTACATTGTTTAAGCATTGATTTAAATTACAAGCAATAAAAAAAACGTTTCGTAAGATTAGTGCAACTGTGCAGGACACCTGAAGTTCTTAAATAAAGTTTCACGATGTCAGTACACACATTGTATTATACTTTCACATTCCGTCAACTATTCTGTGCATATTTGCCATCTAATAATTAAACTGTAACGCAAAATACTAATATCACTCCCTGAAATAATATATGTGCAGTAATAAAGAATAATACATGAATGACTTTGTTGATTACAGTGTCTCAGAGGAGCAGTCTATTGCTGTGTGGAGTGACTCTTGGTTGAATAAGAAAAGCAGAGGAGACTCGACGATTGTTCTCATAACGCCTGGAGGATTATGTTTGTCTTTCTCAAAGTGGAATTAACAAGGTCTTTGAAAAAAAGGAGGAGGGAATTGCTACAAGTTTCCTGGAAAAAGGTAGTCACTTAACTAAAAACTGGATTCACTATCGAGAGGGTCCCTGGCACGGCCAATGACTCTGTCAGTCATAAGACGTGGCAAACCTGTTAGAGAGGTATAGAATCGAATGAAGTAGTGTGACAATTTAGTCCCTCGAATGATTATAACTTGTATAATATCTTCAAATAATTTATTATCTTGGAATAATTCATAAATTGCTAGTCTATTCTATAAATAAACAACATGAGTGGGCGGATGTATAGAGTTGGCGAGCGAGCGAAATTGTATACTTGGTACAGGTCATATTCCTCTATTTATTATATCACGATCGAGGTAAGGGCACCTCAGGGTGAATATTATCATTACATAAATAATTGTAATGAGCGATCAGTACACGGAAGCATATTGCACGCCGCAATAACGCTGGATAGTCTCTTGCGAGCTTGCCTAACCTTCCGAAGGTCGATAAAACCTTTGCTCTTCTCACTACACTCTTCTACATCAAGTACCGCACCCTCTTCTCACGTGGTCAGGAAGAATCTCAGCGGCAAACTGACCGGGACCTATTTTGCGCATTTTTACATGGTCTTATAAGACACGCAAAAGTCAAGGGAATGAAGAGAATCGATCCAATACTATTACTTTACTCTTCCGCGTGCACGCAGAGTCATTAACTGAACCACCAACCATCTTTCATTACTCCAGGATAGCTTGATCCTCCACGCGATCAACCATTGACGATTATTAGTTAACTATGCACAAGCTAGGATCAATGAGAATTTCTCATCTACTGATCAGGCAAAAATTCATTTTTGTGAAGTTTAAGTATCCCTTGTCAATAAACGTCTCTTGTATAAGTTACTTTCATCATATACATTTACTCTAATAGCTACTTTCAGAACTTGTGAATATTTTATTCAATCACTCATGATTTAACCATTTTTTATCACGAGTTGACTTGAATAAATCACGTGTCATAAACAAATTAAAGAGTAGCACTTTTTTTTTAGTTTAATGATACTGTAGTATCCCCCAGTTCTCATAAGAAATAAAAATGCTAGTTGATGTTGACCTGGTAAAGAAGATTACTTTAAAAGAAAGTAAAACTTTTTGTATCATTTTAATTGGACTTAATGACTTTATATTTGTATAAAAAGAAGTATATAATCAAGTTGAAAAAAATTTATTAATCATGAGTAATTTTTCATTGATTTAATCGACATTTTTTCTTGAAAAAAGAAGTATACTTAGGCAAATAGAAATTATAAAAAGTAGATCTATTTAAATTTAGATATTTTATAATTTATTCAAATAAGAATATTCATGAGCCAACTACTTGATACGATAAAAAATAAATTCAATAATTTTTTTATCAAACTTCATCATTATTTATCTCAAATGAATTACTCAAAAAAATTGAATTAAATTAAAATAAATTTTTTATTTAACATCGTTAGGGTTTGAGAAGAAGCTTTTTGTAAATTTTAATTAAAAAAAAAAAGGTTGTCCTGAGTGTAAAAAATATAAAGAGAAAATTAACGACAATTATTAAGTTAATAACACGTTTTCTGATTAGTAATAAGTTATTGGTTTTTTGCTATGAAGCTGATAATAAGATTTGTCGTCACATCTGCATGTATTATGAAAGTCACTATCGTCACCCTTGGAATATCGCTCAGTCGGAAATTGCTCAGCGTTTTACGACGACGTTAAAATTTCCCCCGGAGCTTCTTTTTCCTACGACCTCTATCGTTCTTGTGTGGTAGAGAAGTCAGCAGTTTATGAGAAAGATAATACTCATGAAGGTATGAAAAAGATAAAGACTAATAGTATATATCGTTAAGATAATGTACAGGTATATTAAAATAATGATAATAATTATTGATAAAGCGTTGGAAATGATATTAAAAATACTCCATAAGGTAGAAAAGATGTTCTTTAAGAATATAAAAGATTATTCGGTTGATCAAAATGTTTTTAAAGTCATTCAACACCAAATAGGGTAGCGACTGATAATTTCACTTTCGCTAAAAAATTGTTTTATTTCCTGATACTTTTGTTTTTGTCTTGTAACAAAAAACCTCGTGTAATATCACATTATATGGTAGTGAAATAACGAATTTATTTTGATACTAGTCCATTCAAATAATATTTAAGATCGCTAAATTATCATAAATCAATTCAGAAACATTAGCATATTTCCAAAGTATTCTTCATGAACAACATTAATCAAAGTCACCGGCAAAGAAAGAAATAAATATTAACTGATGTGAAAGGTTTAACTGGCATAAGTATATCATTTTAATTTTTGCCAATTTTTTTTTACAACTTTCTCATAATCATTTTTTTTTAACACAAAAGTCCAAGGTTTTTATTGCGCATTTCTAGATTTAAATTACTATAAACATACGTGAGGTAATAATTATAAAAGCGAGAAAATGTTGTTGTAAGTTTGCGGTTTTTTGTCAGTTATTAAAGAATGACATCTCACTAGTCCCAAGGAAATAAAATCTTTATCTCTTATTCCTTTCACTGGCTCGTGTCTCTGGCAAAGGATTCATAAATATTAAAGCCAAAAATTTCTCCGGACCATGTTCACGCATTCTGTACATTTGAAATAAACAGTTTGCGTAACCAATGATGCATCTGGGCTGACCATGCACGGCGACATTTTACTGCACGAGTAGAGAGTTCGATTCCATGACTTAACTGCAGCCTCGCGTGTAAATACTCCGTTTAAAAGTCGTCTTCGGTCGTCGATTGATCTGCAAAGTCAATCGTAGATCTCTAGTTGGAAGGCTTTAGCTATTTCGTAAGTTGGAGTCAAAGCAATTTCTTAAGATTCTCGACAATCGTGTATGCATAAATACCTCTTGTATTTACCACAGTTGAAACAACTGCAATCAATCGAGTTATTTTTCATAGTGAAATTTATTCTTAATCATTCTGATAATTTACTCTAATTAAATTAATCAGTGATTTTTTTATTTATTTATTCACAATATTAAGCTTATGACAAGAACTTAATCGATTTCACTGTAAGTTAATTCACCAAGTGAATTTATGGAGAAGAAAAGGGAACCAAGGGTATAGAATATGACTTCATCATCTACCATAAGGTGTAGAGGTTGCTGGTGGAAATCGCTTAACGATAAATTCACTGCCTGACACCATTTACATTCTATTTATCACTGATACTTTTTGTTCATCTTCGGCATTTTTATTTTTATTTTCATCATATTGCTATTTAACAAATAAAAACACCTTAAGCATGGATAAATAATTGAGGAAGAAATGAATTATTTACAGAACTCTGAGTCTAAAAAATTATGATAAAGTTTATTGCAAGCATTTGTTCAATGACTCCTACCTCAAGCCTACTTGAAATGAATAAGGACAAATTTTTTTCTTTTCTTTTATGAAAAGTTGTGGCCTTGTCAAATGAGTAATGAACTCGCGTTCTTTTTTTTCTTTTTAGAGGTGGGAAGTTGAAAAATTGAAGAACAAATACTTTTAAGCAACTTGAAAAATTTTCGAGGTAGTAAAAATTTCAATTTTATGATTGTAGATATTTTCATAAAACGTTTCATAAATCAAATGAATTAAAAACAAACAATAATATAAAAATAAAAATTGTATAGAGTGATTGGGTAATCAATTAGGCATGTGAGATTTTTTTCCCAATATATAATTAAATTTTCAAGGCAATCTCTTTATAAAGCTGAGAAATTTGAAAATAAAAAACTCAAGAATGGGAAATATTTTTTAAAAGTATCATCAATATTTTCATATCGATGACTAATAAAAATAACAAGCGACTATTAAATAATTATGAACATCATAAATAAATAGAAAAAAATAATTATTAGATAATCAATCAATCAAATCTGTAAAAAGTTGAATAGCTAATGTTTCTATTACAATTTTATTTCACCAAATGATTACAGTTTCAAGGTCTCCTGTGGTTAAAGTATCCTTCATCAAGGACCACTAATTTGTCCAATTGATCAACAAATGGCTTTGTCATGGTATGAGATCGTTAATCGTGAAATAGCTAGCACGTTCATAATAGAGCAAAATGTGGTTCCGCGTGCTTGACATGCCTGCTGATCTCTTTCTCAATCCAATAAAAGTATTAATAACACGACAAATCAAAGTAACCTGTAGAATATTTTCGTTACAGTTGAATACGATTTACCAGTAGGATTTTCTGGATTATTGCTCCTGGTAATTTATTGTAAAAGAGGGGGCGATTGATAGTTAAAACCGGTAGGGAACAGTCGATTTGAACGAGTGGCTTCGTTAGTGTCGGATAACGGCCCCCGCGGCACGTTGTCTTGACTGCACACTATCCAAGTGAATAGTAGAATCGAGCTCATACTGTAGCTCTAAAGTTGGTCTTCGACGATGTTGCGTTACCTCCCATATAACGATCTCGCAATAACTAGCCCTCGATAATGCAACCTGTGGCCACTATTTGAGAGTATTGATTATGTGAGATATGTAAAATATATTGGATCGAATCAAACAAATATTTTTATCTAGATTATAATGTATGGTTCATTGATCATTATTGTATTTAGACAAGCTTAAATATTAGTATTAATAATAACAACAAAATGAACACGTGATTTTAACCAATTCAACATTGAGTGAATGTACAAAAAAAAGTGAGAGGAAAAAAGAGAAAGTATTGAAACGCAAAGATACTCTCGCTGTCGCCTTAAGCGATGAGCCAGTACCAGTTCATCAGATAATCCACCCGCCGTCTGCTCGAATTTTTTTTTATTTGCCATGGTAATAAAAGAGAAATATCGTCATCAACTGTATCACATCTTTATGCATTTTTATGCAATAAAAATGTGTGTGTTTTTATTTTTTTGATTCATACAGAGATAAATACTGAAAATTGTCGGTTTCAATTTTATGTTAACCTAATATTTAAGTGATATTTGCTTTTATTATGTAATATGGGTTGCTAAATTTCTTTTAATTTCATTCATGCTTTAATATATCAAAAGAAATATCATTTCTTAGTACAATTAAAGGATTGCGACGATTTTTTTCGGTTTCAGTAATGATTCTTGATTACTATAATCAACAATTCAAGTTAAATGTTATCCAATCTGTAGCATGATGTGATTTCATTTCGGCGATACCCTTGAAGATAAAATTGCAATTATTTCAAATTTAAAGTCACATTTATCATTCAATAATGATTATTGCTGTAACAGTATTCTTTTTATGAGTTCATTATTTTAGAATCGTTCAATCAACTATTTTTCATCATTAAAATAAACTGGTCTATTTTTTGAATAAAATAGAGAAACTAAAAACGACAACCTATAACCTTCTGAATGAATTTCATCAAATATTCACTGTTGAAACTTCCTTTCAAAATTTTTTTTTCTGATTAAATCTGAAGGGTTCTTCTGTCATTCAGGTAGAAAGAATTGATAAGATTCAACTCGAACCACACATTAGCCAGTGGTTAACTTTGTCTGCTTCTACCTGACTTGCATATTAATTATTAAAAAAACAATATTCCACGTAACAGGTTTTATCATTGCTTGAAAAACAAAGCTTGTAAAATTTATTGCCTGAAGTAGCTATCTATATCCTATCATTCATCAACATCAATTTACTATTACTGTAAACTTTTTTATTAGTAAAGTCTTGATCAGGTAGCTCATGAAAGAACCGAAGAAAGTCTGGTGATTAAAGGCTCGGTTAAATTAGAAGAAACTTCTAGACCAGGTTTTAATTAATTAAACCCCATATTATTTTTTATATAAAAAAATTCAATTAATAAATTTAAAATTTTGTTGATTGGAAAAAACACTTACTACTTGTAATCTACACTCAATAATCAATTAGCTAGGAATAATTAGCTGATCAATTCATTGACAGATTTTAAATAGTGTGATACTAATGATCAACCAGTATTTTATTAGCATCTACAAAAATCTCATTGTTGAACATACTAATTTGTTTCTAGATCACAATAGTTGTACCACATGTTGCTAATATTGCTGATTATTTTCAACACGAGTGTTTTCAACAAGTTTTCGTGACTAAATTAATTCCTTTCCACAGACTAGTTGCTGAATACTTCCGTGGACGTTCCGGTGGACGCAAGAGTGGTATCGTGGTCACGTTAATGTCATGTCTCTCGGGCGAGGCTCTTAAATCCCTGAAGAGCAAGTTTAAATCAATCACCGTAATTAACGCTCAGCATTGTACCGCTAGAATAAAGATTAGAAGGTATGTTTTTTGCTCGTAAATGCTAACATAGCACGTTACTGTTCCAACTGACTTTTCATTTATCTGACATCCTTGCAAGAGCTGATCCTGAAGCTTCAATCTACCTGACATTATTTCTTCATTAGCTGTGATATCGGATACATTGGACATTTGCATATAAATTTTATAGAATATAATATTTACTGATGGAGTTAGAAAAAAAAATTGTCAAGAATAATGTTGAATATATGTTCTAACGGTTTGGTGCCCTTAGAAGCCATAACTGTAATCCATCAGGCCATTCTTCGCGCGCATTAACCGTAACACCAGTTGACAAGCCTATCAAATTGCTTGCCTATTTGCGAATCTCATTACACGCATTACAATGAGTGATGCAGCGATATTCATCGCGATATGCATATGTGATGTACACGAAAGATGAGAGATTCATTATGTAAAGCATCCGCACAGGCGTAACATTCCCCTATAAGACAGTTTTAATATTTACTAAATGACTTAATACAATACACTTATCAGTTTTATCACATGCTAAAAAAAGATAGATTATGTAGATACCTTAAGAACAAATTACTTGAAGACGAAAAATTATAGAGCAAAAACTTTACATGATTGACTTATTTAAATTACATTTTCCTTGAAGACTCAAGCTTTTCAGTTATTCCATTCTCTTAGAAAAATATTCTAATTTACAAGCTGGTTAATTAGAGGTAAATAATATCAAGAGGAAACCATTTATAGTCGATAAATTTTATTGATTGGTCATAAACGATGTAATCTTAAGAAAAAAATTGATTATTTATTGTTAATAAATAAATCAGTTAGATAGGCTTTGGTTGTTAGTGAGGATGAAATTGATAGAATCACGTATTGTTTCAAAACAAATTAGTATCTCATCCTACAGTGATAGAATATATGAAATATTGTTAGGAAGAAAGCTTCTGAAGAGTTGATATACCTAATTTAATGAGAAGTTTCTCAATGTATCTCAAATATAATTTATTGTTACGTCAACGCTGATAGCTTGTTGAACAACATTACGTTCACATTTATAGATAATATAAATAAGATTCTTTCAAGGAGAATTTATTTACTATTATTTGTCAAGAAAAATTAGTTGGAAACTTTAAAAATAACTTCTCTTATGAACTTCTTCATTATCAAGAACTTTAAAATAAATATAATGATTAAATAAAATTATAAATAATTACTTCAATAGTGTTAATTGTTGATACAATGTAAAATGAAGTACTTTATATGAAGAAAATTCAATGGCTGTCGAGAAAACTTCATTGAAGATCTTTTGTTTATACATTTAATCTGATTTGTATAATCTGATAATTATATCAAGAGAAGAATTTTCTAACAGTTAATAATTCCGCTGATTTGATGCAGCGAACAAAAAATCCATTATTAAATCATAATAAATTTAATGAATCTTAATAAACTGTTATTAAATTCTTTTCCCAGAATGAAGTAAAATAATATAACACTTGATGCCAGCATTTTTCAAAGATATAATGAAAAGATTGAGTAATAATTTTTTTATTCCTCTGTTGCAGGTACTATTTTGGAGCAACCAATTAAATAGCGATAAAAATATTCCAGTGGATATAATGATTACCAAGTAAAGCAAGGACTAAGATAAATAATTCCCGTGTGATTTGCATCTTCGAAGCTGGATTTAACCTCGATCCAAACACGTGGATGTAGTAAATGAGAATAGACGTAGATGTTAGTTTTCTCGTCGACATCGAACGGTTCTCACCGCTCCAGTGTACTGCACGCGCGTGAGATCTGTTGTACAGTAGCAGCAGTCAGTAGCGAAGACGCGTCTCGTAGGTACGGAACTCTCGTAACATATATACAACACTCTTCTGCAGCATCTAAGCTATACGAAGACGCACGTGCACATCACGAAACGAGTGGTCTAGCCAGTCGAGCAAATTACCCACTCTCGTTCCTATACCAAGCATCAAGACGTCTTCATCCTCTTGCGGACATGGTATACCCAAGCGTCAAGACCTCCTTCGTCCCCTTGCCAAGTTATTTTTCCAGGTGGCTTCCGTAAGATTCATCGATAATTACTTATCGCAGCTACGAGAATACACGCCCATTCTGCAGCCATATACCTATCAGCTATGTCTTTAACGGATTCTCTTGTTTTTCTGATGCCTCAGGACATTGACTATGGAAATTAAATTCGTCGAGAAGTAGGAGTCTGAATAGTTTATTTCTTGAAGCAAAGATCGATCAAGATTAGAGACAGAGGACGACTGTTAAACATAGGTATTATGTCACGTAGGTCAAGGGAAGAATATAAAACGTTTTACGATTAAAATAATGTGTAAATAGCCAAGGAAAATTTGCATAAAGAATACCGTGGGATACTATGTAAATTCCATGATTTAAGTTATTGAAGAGAATTTTCATTTTGAATCGATAGAATTTTTTTTAACGACACTAAGCCGTGCCCAAGTGAATTATATATCATCTCTCGACTATGCAATCATGCACTGAGGAAAAATCGATATGGAGATGTGGATAAAAGATGGAGAATCACGAGCCATAGACGTTATATATGCTGTATATACTAAGTTTAGCATATATAAGAGGAAAACTATTGAATGCATACATTCTACAATCTAATGCAGATCCTGTAGCTGATCGCACACGTAGATCATGAAATAACGAAAAGTTCAGATGTAACCTCGCCCGAGTCCAATTACGGTCAGTTTGTGTACGACCTTCGAGGCGATTTATCTCCTGACATGGCTTATATACGAGCACTTACGCCGCATAGAAAATATCCGATGGATCGAGACTTGCGGGTTTAGACCGTGGATACGTTCGTGCGATGAGAGAGGAAGGAACATGACCGCGTGAACCCCTCGACAATTCTCGTGCAATCATGCATGCCAACGCCCCTTCCAATGAAAATAAAACAACTATTAATTATTTACAAAAAATTAATGAAACAAATAGTAATCTTCATCGTAAAAGGTCAAGTGACAAGCGTAAATTTACGCTGGAATGTTAGGTTTCATGGAGCTAAGTATGACGAAGCGGTTGTTACCTAGCATAAGTGCTTTGCCGTTACACTTAAGAGTAATGCCCTATATTTCCGTCGAATCATTTTTTAAAACAACCCGTTAAACTATATTTCCATTGTTTACTATCTATTACACAATTTCTTCTAGAAAATTACACTTTGCAAATCTTTATAGCAATTTTTATCTTCTTTTCCTCTTTATACCCTATATCTTTCCACATACTTTTCTATGCAACACGTGTAAACAAAGTTCCAATCATTTTTATGATAAATTTCTAAATCTCACTACCATTAAGAAAATTCTAATATCCAATCATCTTGATAGTTTTTTTTGCAATAAATTCTTCAACATTTTTGCATTTCTAATAACAATTCTATTTATTAATTCTCGCTAAATATTAGTTTCACTAATTCAATTTACAATTTCAATGGTTGTTTTAAATCAGTTGAAAAAATTTTCACTCCAACTACATTTCCTAGAGATATGGTAATAAATACAATGGAAAAATAATAAATACAAAAGTTGATTTTTCTTTGCATAGAAGCCTTAATAATTCATGATTGACATCCCATTAATAGAAGTATGTCGTAAGCTACTTTTCTATGCAGCTATAATCTTTTTTAAAAACAATTACGATAAAATTCAAAATGCAAGAGTAATTTGACTTCAAAGTACCACCCGTCATTGCATTTCACCACTGTGCATATTTTCATGAAAGTATGAGAGTTTTTTAAGCATCTTCGCACGGAAGTAGTACACGTCTTTGAAAACAATGAATCGTGAAATAATAATTGTGCCTGTTCGTCTCCCATGATTTCGTAACAAGATCTCATTGTCAGTTGTGACAAAAAACTTGTGGGATACTTGTATAGGTTCTACTCAGTTATAGTAAAGTGAAGTTAGCAAGTAGGTAGGTATAGCCAGTCATTCAACCGTGGGATTAACTTTCGTCCTCGCTAAATAAGACGTATCAATCGACCTTCTTTTTTCTCTTGACTTCATGGCTTGATCAAGATTTCAGGCTAAATGGATTCCAACTTATGGAATTTTTCAAGTTTTTCTATTAAAGTCAACACGGTTGTAAGGGAGTGTTTTATCTTCAGGAAGATTAATTTAAAATGTTAAATAAATGCAGTAGTAGCTGTGAAAACAGCTCATCGACTTTAGCTGGACGATGACCGAAGACTTGCTTCACAGTATAGATCGTAGGCCAGAGGCCAGCACGTCCTTCTCATTATAGTCGTTCACTCTTTGAAATTCTAACTGTACAATGCATTCACCCCGCCCAAGGGGCTGGAACTTCACGGTGCGCATACATATTTCAAATGAGACAACAGCTAGACAAGTAGAAACGAATGATGATCCATCAAAATTCTTTCAATAAACCAATTATCACTTGCAGAATTTATTTCTATTCTTAAGCAGGTTGATATGACATATTGTTATGAGTTGATTGGATTCACATTATAATGACAGGAAGTATTCGTATATCAAAAACAAGACGTGTTAAGTCACAATGTAGATCGAAGGCCAGAGGCCAGCACGTTCCTCTCATTATGCTCTTTGCTCTTCGAAGTTCTAACTGTAAAGTGCACTCACCCCACCCAAGAGACTACGACTTCACGACGTTGATTCTCTTTGTATTCTCCAGCACTTATGTACATAGATAGAAGAGCGTTAGCAGATATTTGTTGTGTCCACTCTTCTCTTTGCTTTTCTTAACACTGTTGTAAAACCACAGCTTACCTTCAGCTATCCAAACAATACCAAACCTACACAAATAATTTTCAATGATCTGATACATACTGAAATAAAATTTCATTTAATTAATTTTTTTTTTCTTTTTGTAGATGGAAAAACATTTTTTAGAGAAGAAAAATTATGTTGATTAAATTCACTTCAAGATCCTAAAGGCACGTGCAGAGGCTTCTTTATGAATGGCATATTATAACAGAGGGAGAAAAGGACTAAAGTATTATCTTATAATAAAATCCACTTAAGCATTTGCGGATGCAAAAAAGGCTTCTGAGAACTGTCTGTAAAAGCTTTTCTGTAGCAGGATAAAAATGTCAGTCACGTTGCGATTAGGTGGGTTTAAAAAAGGAATTTATTAAATATTTAGTGATCGGAATTTGTAATAAAATAAAGGTGTAATAATTGGTTTAAACTTGTCTAGATACTTGATGTTGATCTCGAATTTTAATATCGATGAAGGCGAATTTATCTGAGCACTTTCACATTCCATCGTAGTCTGGGCGATTTGCCTTGGCACTTTATTGGTTGCATTTAATTGCGAGTGCAATAGTGCGAATAAAAGCCGACGTATTTGTCGACGTTCAGGATCTTAGAGTCCTTGAAGCACCATTGGTACTTCCTAGTAGTTTTTAGGGTTTATAAAAATAACGATAATCCAACGGTTAATAAATGTATGTACTAAGTAAAGAATACTTGTTTTGGTTTGTTGCAGATGTGTTTACACTTTTATGTTTCCTAGTTTGTTTCTACGATAGTCCGGAAGAATAAAAACGATAAGTCGATGAAGGAAACGAGGGCTGGAAACACGCTCTATATACGGATATCGCTGCCGATCGCGCAAACGAGGACGTACAACTCGCTCCGGCAAATTGGCCGCTGCCAACTGCAATGTGATAATTATTACCGTTGCACCAATGCTATCGGTCATCAATGCATCAGGTCGTCGTCCTTTTCAAACCAAGTTTGCCTAACTACTTAATATTAACTGTCAGTCAATATTAACATTCAACCAAGAATACAACTCACCTTCCTAATCCACCTAAATTTATACTTGACATATTACAGACACTTGTCATCCAGCGTATTATACCAATCATACGATTTAACGTTCCACTTTTGTCGTCAGTAAAAAATAAAAAGTTGGAAAAAGCAACCAGAATAATATGCTTATGCCCATTATTGTTATTATACTGGTGAAGTAATAATTTATTTTGAAAGTAGCAGAATAAAAAAGTGGAATTGTAAATAACTAACATGCATTGTTTTTATATTATCACCAAGATGTTTTTCTATTTCACAATGCAAACTGGAAGCTAACTGCATAGTAATGATTAATAACACCAAGGTAAGAAAATAGCCACCGAGTGAAATTAACATGGATTTATTCTAAATGATTGTAGTTTAAATTTGTTGCTAAGATTATGAAACTAATATACATGAATCGTCCACAATTCTTGACGTCCTTGCAAAAGATATAAACAAGTTACGAGTTCTATTCAAACTAAAATTTTTATACACCCAGATATAAATTTAATTATTTTTTTATACAAATGACTTCGTACATAATCTTTATTTTTCATAAATATTATAAATATTTTTAGTTTAATCAAATTGTTATTTAATTTCCAGAATTATTTATTAAATCATATTGTTGATCAGACAATAGGTCTGATCTTTAAAATTTCAGACGATTTAAAATTAAAATATAATGAAATTAGATGCTAATAATTATGTATAGTTAAAATATAAACAATATTTTATATTGATTAATATTTTTATTTTTTTGCATTTGAAAAAAAAATACTCAATCGATAAAAAATATTTTCTCTAAAAATACTGATGGTTGGTAAGCTGGTAAAATTGTCATTTTAATAAAAAATAACAACATGAGATGGCAGCAACACACATTTCGAGGTCTAGAAGTCCTCTTGTGAGAAGAAATTAAAATAAATATTTGTATTGACACTTGCATCGCTCTGATTCTGCGCTTTTGTTGCACATATATATTTTATTATTTTCAAGACTCGATAAAATAGATAAAACGCAGTATCAATTTGCCAAATGGCAGTGGGTGGTAATTTGGGGATCTGCAAGGAAGTGAAGGAAGTTGAAGCAGATGTGAAGAGTAGTGCAGAGTGTACGAATTTAGTATTTTATTACGTGGTGGTTTCATTTTGATCTGTCAGTGTATCAGCCCACACTAAGCTGCATAAGTTGTTAGAAAATGAAGCAATAAACAATGGTGATAGTCATTGTATAGGAACATTTATTTAGTGAGAGTGTAAAGGCTGACAAATGTCATCCCTTTGATCAGATTTCTCGGATTAGAAATGTCATCTCTAATACGCTTGGCTGATACTTGTTTCGTCTGACCGAGCAAGTGCTTCATGGAAGAGTGTGCTTGAACGGTGCTCCATCCTAGAAAAATCTTAGAAAGACCAGTAGTTGCGAAACGTCACAACAGAGCAGTCCACGTAGAGGTAATACACGAGAATACTTGGTTTGGAATTTATTAGCCAACTGCGACATTCAATAGCTGCAATTTAAATCTTCACTACTTCTATTCTAGTCTAAGTTTAATTTTAGACATTTCACACGATGATTGCCATGGTCTTTTTAATCATTACAAGGTTATACCCGTCTAATCAGTAATTCATTATACTGTTTACGCATTTTAAGCGATATTTAATTCTATTTTCGTTTATTTATGATAGTGTTCAACATTAATTGAATATACCGTCCTCATTACACTTTATGACCCTCCAATCTTATGCTATATGTCATAAATAAAACAGCTGTGCTGTAATTTTTGATACGATCTAGTTAAATTATCGCTTTAGAAATGAGTTCTACTTAAGATGAATTTTATGAATTAATATATAAAAAGTTATTCATTTTTTCAATGTATTTCTCAATCTATTGATTGTATTTGTTTTAGTTTCTAGTAAAATTTTAAATCATGGACCAAGAAACAGTTTACGGCACCCACGAGGACAGTCATGTGGTAATGTCTGAAAAAGTTCAATCGTTAGCTGGCAGCATTTATCAAGAGTTTGAGAGAATGATAGCAAGATATGATGAGGATGTTGTCAAAGAACTAATGCCACTCTTAGTCAACGTATTGGAATGTTTAGATATCGCTTACACTGAAAATCAAGAGCATGAAGTTGAGTTAGAATTGCTGAGAGAAGATAATGAGCAATTAGTTACTCAATATGAAAGAGAAAAGCAGCTAAGAAAAGCATCGGATCAGGTAAGTTTAAAATATTTATTTGCATAATGAAATTTCGATTAAATTGAAACATGAATTAAGAGTGAAAATATTTATATTTCAGAAATTATTAGAGCTTGAAGACATAGCAGAAGATGAAAGAAAGGAGTTGCTAGCAAAAATTGATAGTTTAGAAACAATTCTTAAAATGCTGGAGCTAAAGACGAAAAATTCACATGATCATGGTACAATTGCAAATACAAGTTCGAGTTATTGTTCCCACCGTGCACATTCCTACAGTAGAGTAGATTATTTTTTGTTATTTTATTTTTATGTAGCTGATGGTATTATTCAACTTATTATTATTATTTTCATCTAGTCAAACATTAATCCAAGTCCCTAAATGTGCAATATCTGTTTTATCATGCTAATTTGTCTCGTGAATTACATCCACTGCTCACCTCATTTAAATATTTGAATTTCTAATTAAAATGAAACTTTCCTTAAACATTAATTAGCTTTATTCAACTTTGTTTAAATGGAGGAAAATTTTTCTTTCAGTTGTTCGTCTTGAAGAAAAAGAGGCAGAATTAAAACGTGAATATGCACGATTACATGAACGATATACCGAATTGTTCAAAACTCACGTTGATTATATGGAAAGAACTAAATTGCTCGTGGGAAGTAGTGAAAGATTAGAAAATACAACAAACAACCGTCCTCCTCGATATCCTGGTTTGAATTTAGCTCATATGTCACGAAGCTCTGGGCCTCTCAGTTATGGATTCCAAAGTTTAGAAGCTAGTATGAATGCCGAAGATATTCAGGAAGAAAGTCCAACCCATACTGCAAGTTTAAAATCAGAAATGCAGGACAGCAGTGGTGAAGCAGTAATTGAAACATCAGATAAAAGCCAATTAACTGATAATCCACCTCAAGAGAATAAAACTACAACTGTTTCAAAGCGTAAATATTTTTTTTTATTCATTAAAGATGTAAATCTAACAGTCACAAAAGATAATTGGTGTTGGGTAATTATCAAAAAAAAATCGAATTCTTTCTACAGTCTTTGCAGATGAAAGTCCAGAAACTGAAGTACCTCCTGTTGTTGCTACTCCAACAACTCCAGTTGTCGACAAGGTAGCAACAACTCCCAGTGGTAGAAGTAGAACAGAACGAGAGCAACGTAGTGGAAATACTTTGTATCAAGAACTTAGTTTTCAAGATGCTGACGCTTTGGGAGAAATGGATGAAGGAGCAGATATTACTGGTAAGTATATAATTATTTTTTTGAATAAATACTGCTTAGCTGTTTTTGTGACTAATACATACATCGTAATTGCTGCATTTGTAGGCAGTTGGGTTCATCCAGGAGAGTACGCTTCGTCGGGTATGTTTAATATGATTTAGTTATATTTTACTATTTAACAAAAATAGTGGATTGTTTAACATAATACTTAATGTTAGATGAATATAAAAAATTCATACAAAAATGAATCATTTACTAACTTGTGTTTATTTTTTTTACTTCATCATTGCTGATCTACTACATTGTTTACCAAACGCATGCAACGAATAACTCAATAGTCAATGACAACTTCTTCGGTAAGATGTTTTGAGTGTAATCATTATTTTTGTATAATAATCTGCTACTCTAATTATTTGTGTATAGAACTTTTATTTAATAATAAGTACTTATTCTGTAATAGGTATGGGCAAAGAAGTTGAGAATCTCATTATGGAAAACAATGAATTATTGGCAACAAAGTAAGTACCTTTTAATTAGATTACTATTATGAAAATTGCATTACAAGTGTTTTTAATATTTATTTATTTTTCTTCAGGAATGCGCTGAACATCGTTAAAGACGATCTGATAGCTAAAGTGGATGAACTAACAAGGTAATCAAGTTATTGGTATATTGATTATTGATATTTGATAATCATTTTTGGTCTTATAGTAATGATTTTATTATACTTGTAGTGAACAAGAAATTCTTCGTGATGAAGTAAGAGCACTACATCAAGCACGAGATCGACTTCGTCATAAAGTATCAGCTTTAGAAGGAGAGCTGAAGAAAGTAAAAGAAGAGAGTGAAGCTATGGCTAAAACAACTAAGAGTGATGATGAAGAAGATGTTCCACTTGCTCAAAGAAAACGGTTTACTCGTGTAGAAATGGCAAGAGTACTTATGGAGAGGAATCAATATAAAGAACGATTCATGGAACTTCAAGAAGCTGTGAGATGGACTGAAATGATTCGAGCCAGTAAGACAGATCCAGCGAGTATATCTGGAGGCAAACAGTCTGTCTGGAAGTTGTAAGTTATTTTTTCAAGATTAACATCAATAATATTTCATTTAATAGATAAGAAAATAATTGATCCAATTTTTTTACAGTTTTAGTAATCTTTTTACCGGTCCAGCTGATCGGGGGACACTACATAGAAATCCTCATACCTTACCGCATATAAGGTATAGCGCTCCGTCAAATCAAGTAGTGCCAGCTCCACCGTTAGATGCAATGCGTAAGCGTACATTAAAAAATCGCCATGAATTTCTCGACCAAGGAGATACGATGTGAGAATTTAATTAACTTTCGTAGACGCACTTAAGCCATTTTATCACCTCAATGTCTATTGTACATACTATTTTTGAATCTATTCTATTTCTATTTTTTTTCAAGTTCGTTTATAGATTAAACGAAAATTCTTTTAACTGTTTTTTGACTGCGATAAAAAGAAAAATAGTGATTTTACTTAGATGAGCAAATGCTTATTTTAAATACCAGTGTTTCTGACTCTCCTGTGATATCAATCAAATCTTCTATTGGTATATTTCAATTACCATGTTAACTTTTTTGTTGAAAAAATAAGAGATTTTATTAGCTTTTTTGAGAGCTTTGTATTGTAAATAATAAATTGTTAAAAATCGTTACTTTATCATGTTTTATTATGATTCGAGGCAGCGTTAGCCACGATTTGTAAATAAAAATATTTTGTTTAAGGCTTTCTTTTTATTTATAGTTTTTATTGCTTCTATTTTCGTTGCTTCTTCACTTATCCTATTAGTCTAGTTTATAAGTAGTACTTTGTCGTTTGTTTGTGTACTGACTCAGAAGATATTTCAGCTCATCTGAAAAACGAGTGGCTAGACTTGCCAATGAAAGAAAAGAACAATATCGACAAGTAAGAGCACACGTGAGAAAAGAAGATGGACGTTTGCAAGCTTATGGATGGAGTTTACCTGGAAAACCTAGTGCTCCTGCGAGACAACCTGTTCCAGTTCCTGTTTATTGTCGTCCTCTTCAAGAAACAGAACCTGGAATGAAGGTTAGCAAATCAAAAAAATTTAATTCAACTGAATTCGATTTCTAATAAATAAATATTTAATTTTTAGATTTGGTGTGGAGCCGGCGTAAACTTAAACGGTGGGAAAACTCGTGATGGAGGACTTGCAATAGGAGGAAGTGTATTTTATGCAGATGAAGCAAAAGAGACTCCCATGGTTGAAGGAAAAGTAGAAGACGCTGTTGAACATTTGGATAAAGAGTTGCAAGAGAATGAACAGCGTCGCCTTGAAGCAGAAAGACAAGACCAGCAATTAAGCTCCCTTGTATGGATTTGTACGTCGACTCAAAAGATGTCCAAAGTCACTGTGATAGATGCAAATAATCCAGCTGATATCTTAGAAGTTTTCAATGTGTGTCAGAGTCATTTACTCTGTATAGCGAGTGTTCCTGGTGCAAAAGAGAGTGATTATATTCACAATGTTGAAGAATCTACACAACGGATAGTAAATGGAACAAATGAAGTAGACTTAGTTAACATTCAGGTCCAACGTGCCAATGATGAGCAAATTGTTGCTGAAGAAGCTACTGTAACTGAAGAAAAAAACTGCCTAAAAGCGGGAGATTCTGATGATCGCAGTCAAGCAACTTCAGAGGGTCCGAGTTCTCTAGAAGAAAAACCTAGTGAAAGCTCAGAGAAAAAAACTGATGTAGATCAGAGCTCAAATACAGAACCCCAAAGCTTAGAAAATGTTGACAGTGATTCTATTAATATAGGAAAAGTACATTTTGTTAAAAGTAATATTGAAACTCTATCAATCACAAACACTGTAAGTGAATCTGAAGCACCACAAACTGCCGAAAATGATACTCCTATTGAAAAAATGTCGTCAATACAGCCAACAATGTGGCTTGGAGCACAGAATGGAACTGTTTATGTGCACTCAGCTGTTGCTAAATGGTCTATTTGTTTACATACTGTTACGCTCAAAGATGCTGTTTTATCCATAGTGTAAATATTTTAACTGATAACTATTTTATTGATTTTAAAATTTTTAATTGTATTAAAATAATCAATGGTACGGTACTATATATTGGCGTCTATTTAGTCATGTTCAGGGAAGAGTGCTGGTAGCTCTTGCTGATGGGACAGTGGCAATATTTCGACGAGGATCCGATGGTCAATGGGACTTATCTCAACACCACATTATTACTTTAGGCAGTCCGCAACATGCCATTAGATGTATGACAGCCGTCTCAGGGAAAACAGTCTGGTGTGGATATAGAAATAAGATTCATGTGATTGACCCCATTCTCATGAGTCTCGAGGTAATTTTTTAAAATTTAAGAAATATTCATCTTGTAAATATTTTTGAGCTAATTAATAACAAGGAATAAGGTACTAATATTAATATAATAAATCAAGTAATTATGATTTACCTTGTTGATTTACTTTGTAAACAAATCACAAAAGATTAAAATTATAAGAGTAAGGAATAGGAATCGGTTTTCAGTGTACCGTTGACGCACATCCAAGGAGAGAGTCTCAAGTCAGACAATTAGCATGGCTTGGAGAAGGAGTTTGGGTCAGCATTCGACTCGATTCTACATTGAGGCTGTATCATGCTCACACTTATCAGCATCTGCAAGATGTAGACATTGAGCCTTATGTCAGCAAAATGCTCGGCACTGGCAAACTCGGGTTTTCATTTGTACGAATCACTGCATTACTCATTTCTTCAAACAGACTGTGGATTGGAACGGGAAACGGTGTCATCATATCTGTACCATTATCAGAAAGTAAGCTTTCAGAATTCATTTAGCAAGTAATGAATGAATGAATAGATAAATACTTTATGCATATTTATTATTGTCAACTAGGTGCTGGAGGATCTTTAGCTGTGTCTAGAGTACAAAGTATGGGTGGTAAAGGTGATGCTCCAGGAGTAGGAGTTCGAGTATTCGCTTCGGAAAAAGGTGTCACTCCCGGAAGTTTTATTCCTTACTGCAGTATGGCTCATGCTCAACTTAGTTTCCATGGCCACCGTGATGCTGTGAAAATGTTTGTTGCAGTTCCGGGTAAGTTCAATTATAAATCAATCCATTCACTGCCATTTAAAAAAACTTTATTTATTTAAAAATGGTATAAGAATCTGTTATTTTAATTCTATTTACTTTAGATAACGAACATTATTTTTCAATCATTTCTACTATACTATATTTATATGAGACTATTTAAATAGTTTCTTAAGGTGCAAAATGTATTTAAAAATATATTGAATAATTTTTCTCTTGTAGACCATGATGTAGAAGAAAAATCTTGAAATAATATTAACTGAGAGAGAATATGATATTTAGATATAAAATATTACTGATAGATTTATGTTGATATAAATCTGTAAAAAAGAGTGAATATTTTTTTGCACTATGTGGATGTAGAGCAAACGATCGTGAAAAAATTTGCATTTCTGCAAGCGTTGAATATTCATTAATTCGTGAAATATTTTAGTAAACAATACGCGAAATTGTAGCGAGAGCTACACTGTTTGATCTTTTCACCTCAATAAAATTTTTCTCTAGACTTCATTAAACCTGTTTTGTTTTTTATTTCTATGTATGATTTTTGTTTCAATGAAAAGGACATGGAGGTCAGAGTGCCATTTCAGATGGTACACAGCCAGCAATGTTGGTATTATCAGGTGGAGAAGGCTACATAGATTTCCGTGTGGGTGAGTAAAAAATTTTAATTACTCAAAAAAAAGTTTTATAAAAAATTTATGCATCAATTATAAGCTCTAAAAAATATAGACAAGTACATTTAATAAGTATAAATTGATTGATTGAAATATTTATAGTAAATTAGTGAGGGTGATTGGGAATTTATCATTAATAATTTCAGCTGAAGAAGCAGAAGACGAAAGTGATGTGGCAACCCACCTTATAGTTTGGCAGATGGTCAGGTATGCCCCCAGAGAGTAACGTAACGTGATAAAACAATCGCTCACAACTGAATTTTACTAACACTGATTGATTGATTGATTAATGAATACTGATATGACTAGACAAAATTCAGCTTTTCTAACAAAAAAAAAATTAATCATAGATTTAATCTATCTGTTTTGGAAAATGCACTATTCTCAAATTTACTAACAATTTCTATTTAGTCTTTTATTAACAATAACAAACATTCAATTATAATAATGTTAATAAGTTTGTATATAATTGACGATTTAATATTTTCGAGTCGTTAAATGTCTTGCTCTCTGGGGGTAGAGAGGGAGAACTTTAAATTTATGTGTATATTGACCAGGAATTAGCACGATTCCTTTGGAGGCACCTTCGATAGTTCAATTACCTTTGCAAAAAAGCAACTAATGTTATGCAATGTTTTTCAGGTGATGGTGACGAAATTGAGGAAGGATTGGAGCGTACAAACATTTCAGCGACTAGTCATGAGGAACATGGAGAACAAAGTCATCTGATTGTTTGGCAGGTTCAATCACCTGTCCACATGAACGGCTAGCCTATTGGTTAAAAAAAAATTTTCTTAGGGTGCATAGAATAAATAAATTAATAATTCAAGAGAACAGATAGACTGCAAGAGTTATCAATAACTCAGCAGCAAGACAGTGAAGTTTATCAGAGCTCTTAAGTGTCTAAGAGCAATTATGATAGAATTACTTCTTCGACAAACGAAGAAAACGTAACTGTCCAATTTATTTATTTAGATGTGATCATGATAAGACAGATTAATTATTGTAGGCTATGACAGCGAATAATAGTAATGATGACGCTTGTTTGTTCCAAAAATTGAACATTGACTAATTTTTATCAGAATAATTAATTGAAACAATCAGTTTTTAATTGATATAAAAATTATTAGATGAAAATATTTCACGCCTATATGCGTCCCTTTTTGTACGAAGCGATAGTAAGTTGTCAAGACATAGATAATTAATTAGTAAATGAAAAATTATCAAACTTTATGAAGCATCTTATAGAAAGCATTGCATTTGAAAAATTCTTTATCTCGAGCTTTGTATAACAAAAATCGCTTTCATTGGTATCATAATGTACGTGTATACGTATATAGATTATTGAATTGGTTTCACACTAATAGAGTTTTAAATTATCAATAAATTATGTAAACATAAATTTCGTAAAATCTTGTAGGGAGATTGAGATAAATGTTTTCTCTATTTTTTTAATTCAATTTTCTTATTTAATTTTTTTAATATTTACTTTACAGGAAACTAGTCGCGGATATTCTATCTTATTTATTAACCGCAATGTTAACTATTAATGTTTAAATAATATTTCTCATAACCGTGACATTGAGACTTGGAAGAGTGAGTATGAATTATTTTTATAGACTAATGACTTTGTTAATTTACATAATAATTACCATTTTTTTCTCCTTTCGCGGTAGCTAGATATTTGTATACGCTTTCTCTTGCTTTATTTATTATTCAGTCTCCTACCAAAGATAGAACGATCGAATTATGTGATTTGTATAACACATAGTTAAAATATTGTAGTGAAGTTTTACTTATTCTGGTTTTTAAGTTTTAAAAAATCATGTTAAAAACAAAAAAAAAATAAAAAATCATGTCAAATTTAAAACTGTACCTGGCTTTAAAGAAGCCCTAACAGCATTAAAATAAAATGGAATATTAAAACTGTGAATAAAAATGAAAATTTCCGTTGATATTAATAAACAATTATCAAATTAATTTTTTTTAATATAAAAATTCAAATGAATTTAGCTTATTTAATTTTTTTTAATTTGAAGCTAAGTTTAGTTTACATGTTGAGTTGATAAATAATAAACAAATTGTTTTACTTTGTTTAGTAAAAAAAGGATATAATTGATCATTTTTAACGATAACTACATATGCTTATCAGACCTTCTATGACCTTGCAAAACTTCGTAGTTTATGCTAACTCGTCGACTATCCCAACAAATCGTGACTACTTTCTCCCACCAGTGTCTGTCTAGCACAACCAATAAAAGTCCACAGCTGTTGACAACGAGTACGAGTTCATCGTGGTGGACTTTGCATCGTTATTGCGCTCTGATTTGGACATACGTCTTTGAGTTTTCTTTCAAACCGGCTTTTTTGTGAAAATTTGGAAAATTTATCAATCATGGCGAGAGATCCAGCTTCTGAACAGCTGAATAATTACAAGAAAACAGTTCAGGTATTATTCACAAAGTCTTTTGTAAAAATATTGTTAACTTTTATCAATTCTTTTTTATCAATATATTTCTATTGGAGGATGTAAATACGCTAACTAGAGAAGTTTTTGTTATTGTAGTATCAATCAGGATGTGATTATTTGAATTTATATAAAAGTCAATGTACTCAGATGTTTGTTAGATTAGTAACTTATATTAATGTTAACAGAAATTGCTGGAATCATGGAATATTTTATATTATGTATACCATCGTAATGATCAAGTTTGTTGATGGTCTAACCTCGTTATCTTGCAAAAAAATTCATATCAATATACAAGTACTCTCCTGAAGCTAAAGAAATACATCTTTGAATACTTTCATTATAAAATCAACATTATTCATAATAATTAATACAAAAATAATATAATATATTCTTATTATTATTATTATTATTTCCAATGCTTATGGAATAAGTATGATTATAAAAAGGATTAAAGATTACGAAATTGTGAAACAAGATTGCGCTGATTACTTACCGTGATTGTAAAGATAAAGATGAATGGATGATTAAATATAAAACGTAGTTTCCTTAGGAAATTTTTTGCGGATTTGAATAATACGATGATTCAAGCATAAAAAATCAAGGCTGGAGGTATTCAATCATGATCATTAAAAACATGCAATTACCTAATAATTATAATGTGATAATTAAAGACTAACGAGCCTTACCTTGATCTTATTATATCATCTCCAGGTGAATCAAGAAGATGCAACATAGAAATAATTCTTTGCATTTACCAAATGTATCAACAATTGAATTCTTTTTCTTTATTAATCAAAATTCCCATGACTTATAATGAAATCATAAAACAATAGAATTTTTTTAATAAAAAATATTGCAATAATTAACTGAAAACAGACTCATAATTACGTTATATTCTATTGATTAAATGATAATTATTTTAGTAAGCTTCATTATTTGGACATATTACAGAAGTATTCATGAAATCCAGATCAGTATTAATTAAGAATGATTAATTAGTAATATAAATGCATAAACAGAAATTTATTCGATGTTAATGAAGTGAATGATTGTATTGAACTTCAAAATGATAAATTAGTTTTTGTTAATCATTTGGCTTGTAAATTTACTAAAAATAAAGTATTTATGTAACTTTTAAATATTTAGAAGTTGAGTATTAGAGTCTGAATGATGATTACTGCCAATTATGTGTAGATATTAAAAATGCATTACTAATATTAGCTATTTATTTCTGGCAAGGTAAACCACGTAGGAGTAAACATTTTACTAGAAGTGTTCTTTGAAAATGAAGTAAAATGTTTAGTTAAAAAAGTAAAATTATCTCTTGCGATAATGTGAAGACATTCCTAGAGATATAACCAGTTTCTTTATCAAGTTTTTTGAAACTTGTGCTAGAAAAAATGGAATATTCATTGCGAATGACAGTAATCGATATCAAACTTATTTGCGTGTAACTTCAATGATAGCATAATTGTTCTTTACTGTTATTATTGTTATTAATACAGAATATATTTTAATCTTTAATCTGCTATGTCATTTCGATCAGAAAATATTAATATTTCAAATCTACAATGAGCCTTCAGACATGAAAAATTTTCCATTGAGTGTTTACTTCGAGTAAATGCAATTATTATTACTACTTTTAAATGTGATATTGATTAAATGACTACATTCCTAGTAGCATTAATTTGATAGAGACAATTGGAGAATCGACCGGCTATATCTGATTCATGTTAGCAGCTTATGTCATGCTTCAATATAGAATATTGATAATAAATAGAATATGAGTAATGACATAAATATGGGACCTGTATGTTTTAATTTAAATTTATTTCTAGGGACCACCACCTGTCCTACTTACCGGAAATGGAAATCCCATCGCTAACAAGAAAGCCAGCCTTACTGTGGGCCCCCGAGGTCCTCTATTGCTCCAGGATTTCGTTTATCTCGATGAGATGTCTCATTTTGATCGGGAGAGAATTCCTGAACGTGTTGTCCATGCTAAAGGAGCAGGTAATGGATCTGAAACTTCATTTAAAGAAAAAGAAAGCTCTTAAAAAATTACTTCTCTGCTAAGTTTTTCTTAATTGAATTTTTCAGGTGCCTTCGGTTATTTTGAAGTTACCCATGACATCACACAGTATACAAAAGCTAAAGTTTTTTCGAAAATTGGAAAGAAAACTCCCATTGCTGTAAGATTCTCAACTGTGGGTGGAGAAAGTGGATCAGCAGACACAGTGAGGTAATTGTAATTTCATTTAACATTGTTTAATTAATTTATTTTATGGTTCTTAATGATAGCAATTTTTATCAAACAGGGATCCTCGTGGATTCGCAGTTAAATTTTATACTGAAGAAGGAATTTGGGATCTCGTAGGCAACAATACACCCATTTTCTTTATCAAAGATCCTCTCTTTTTCCCGAGCTTTATCCACACACAGAAAAGAAATCCTGCGACACATCTTAAAGACATGGATATGTTTTGGGATTTTCTATCACTAAGACCTGAGTCGACTCATCAAGTTATGATTTTATTTGGTGATCGTGGTATTCCTGACGGATATCGCCACATGAATGGATATGGCTCTCATACGTTCAAACTTGTTAATGCCCAAAATGAATTCGTTTGGTGCAAATTCCATTACAAGGTATAAACTTAATTAATTAATTTTAGTTGACTTGAATAGTTCATTTTAATTGTTATAAAAGAAATCGTCATATAAAGAATTAATATTGAAACATTTAACGGAATTAATTGACAAAAGTTTCTGAATATCGTTGGTTTGAAAATAAATATTCAACAATGCTTACAGACCGACCAAGGTATAAAGAACATCTTAGCTGAAGATGCTGCAAAGATAGCTTCCGATGATCCAGATTACAGTATTCGCGATTTATACAATGCAATCGCAAGAAAGGATTTCCCTAGTTGGACGTTTTATATTCAGGTGATGACCCAGCAGCAAGCCGATAAGTTTCAATGGAATCCTTTCGACTTGACAAAGGTAAACAATGTTTAATCATTCTATTGAGAATCACGAAAGATAAATATTGAATTTACTAATTAGAAAATAACCTAATTACGCAGGTTTGGCCTCACAAGGATTATCCTCTCATTCCTGTAGGGAAATTAGTACTGGACAGAAATCCGGATAATTATTTTGCTGATGTAGAACAATTGGCATTTGATCCTGCACATATGCCACCTGGAATTGAACCCAGTCCAGACAAAATGCTTCAGGGTAGATTGTTTGCATATGGAGATACTCACAGACATCGTCTGGGACCAAACCATCTTCAGTTACCTGTTAACTGCCCCTACAAAGTAATTAAATTCCATATATTTATACATATTATTTTTGTGACCGAAATGCTAATCGATATAAATATTAATATTATGTATTTTAGAGTATATCAGCAATCAACTACCAACGTGATGGCCTTATGCCTGTTTACAATCAAAATGGTGCTCCTAACTATTACCCCAACAGCTTCAGTGGACCTGAAGAATGTCCGGCCGTCAAATCACCACCATTTAGCGTTTTCGGTGACGTTGATCGTTATGAACCCGTTAACGAAGATGACTTTGGTCAAGTAACATTGTTATGGAGAAACGTGCTTGATGCAGATGCACGGACCCGACTTGTCAACAACCTGGTAGCCAGTCTTAAAGGTGCTTCAAACTTCATAGTGGAAAGAGCTGTGAGAAACTTCTCTAACGTGGATGTTGATCTTGGCAACAGATTGACGGAGGGATTGAAGAAAGTAGGAAAGTCAATCAATGCTTCTGGAAAATGTCCTAAAATGTAAAACATACCTACTTCAATCGTAATTCTTGTTATAACTAATATTTTGTTTTTATTTTATGAATGAGAATATCTATTTACTACAAAAGGAAATGATAATGATAATTATCACACTAAATTTGTAATATTGTTTATGGGTATTTCACTGATATAGTATTTTATTAAGATTTTGCTAAAGCACAATTTTTTTAATTTTTAATATCAACTTATATTATTAACATATCTACTTAAATGAACAAAAATAAAATACGTTTTGTAAGTTTGTATTTTTATTAAATGTTATTTGCTTCAAATTTTTAATGTTTATAATTAAAAAAATATTTTAACAAATTGATACATAAATTATATTTTTTTGCAACGATTTTTGTGCTCATTTTCTAGAGATATCCAACAATATTCTGAACTCACAAAATAATATATTAACATAATGTTACTGTTCTCGAAGTTTCATTTTTTACTGCAATATCAGCAGCTGAATAACAATACAAGCGATGCGAAACAGAAGCAACGAATTAGACACGTTTCTGAAGTATTCACATTTTACACTCTTTGTTTACTAAATAATTACAATCCAAAGTTCTACACTTCCAACTGTGAGTCATTTCAAACACTTGAAGAGATGATTAAATAAACATGTCACTAGATCGATGCATCAATCCACACTGAAATTCAATACTAATATTAAAGTAGATGCGTACAAAGCAAAAACAAAAAATTATAACTACAACTTTGCATATAATAAAGATAACACGGAAAGTCAAGTCACTTGACCGGGTATTCCCCCCAAAGCTATTCAATACAATATTCTTTCTTCGCTCGGGGAAGAACAATTTACTCTTTTATTTCTCGATTAATCATAATCTCAAGTGTCAATACAATGTCGGAAGATCCTTATAAAAGAAGATTCAATAATGGAAAGCATCAGTTTATCACAAAGTTTCTTAAGTGTTTTGCTTTGAGTATAATAACTTTTCTTCACTATGACAAAGTTTATGATTATCGTGCTTCTGCTGACAGTTTCTGTAGCTGTCATGTCAGCTCCTTCATTTGAAGGTAGATATCGATTTACTTTTATTGGTTTAAAATTTGTTTTATTGAAATTATTCCGATATTCTACTCTATAAATTGTAGCTTCAGTGGACTGAAGCATGAAGTCTTTATCATACTTTTCACTAAAAATAGTTTTAATCTTTTCATAATAATATCTGAGCATAATTAATGAACTAAATATTGGATAATTAGCAAAATATAACAAAGAAAATTTGAATTTCAATGGTTCATTTGTTTGCAGAATATGAACCTCTTGAGTTAAGAGGTGAAGAATTTGAAATCGATGGAGAGAATGAAGACCACCTCCGTCATCGTCGAGTTACCTGTGATCTTCTTTCCTTTAAAGGAGTTGTGAATGATTCTGCTTGTGCTGCCAATTGTCTTAGTATGGGAAAATCTGGAGGAAGCTGTCGTAATGGAGTGTGTGTTTGTCGAAAGTAATTATTCTCACTAATTTTCTTTCAAAACACTCTTAAATAATATACATTAATTTTTTATCACACATCTCTTTTCCTTTTACAGAGATAAAATCGTAGATTTGTGGAAGAAAAGATTTGGCTGAAGCATTAATACATAATTTACTCAACAATTTCAAGGCTGTTTGAATATTTTATCTGAAATATGAATAAATAATTTGAATAATGTAAATTTTCAGGTCTGATTTTATTTAGTAAATTAACTCCGTGTGAAAATTCCGCGAATTGAACACTACATTAATTAGACCGTTATAATTCCTTTTGAAGGTCTGGTCTTTGATGAGACAATATCCCGAGGCTCAAGCCCTAATTATAAAGTTCATATGGCTTTGATGGACACCTCCATCTACTATCAATATCATTCTAGTCTGTTTTCATCCAAAATCGATACCATCAAACGAGAGATGCACTACTCGATTATTGTGAAAAAAGCCAATATAACTTGGACCCTGCACTTAGTCATGAAGAGGTCATTGTGAACTTCATATTTGAATTTTAGCATTATTAGACGGTCTTTTTAATATGAAGGGTTGAAGTTCATGATAATACTTCTTTCAAGCTTAAAAATACTCGGACAAAGAGTGCAAATAGTGTAGACTAGTCTTTTTAACGTTTTATTAAAATTGGATTTCTCTTTCTTTCTGGCATCTCTTTCCTGTTATGCTTATGTACATACATATATTCCTTTTACTTTCAACATACATACTGCACTGGTCTATCGTATATTCAAAGTGGCCTGAGAGTGGTTATAATGCGCATTGGGCCGGCTTTTAAAATAGGAACAAGTCAGTAAATATGCTTACAACAGAATTTTCATTACTATTGTCCATTGTTCATAATGATAGTTTTATTCGCATATGTTACATTCAAACTAATGTTACTACCTTCTTTTAACAGTAACTTCAAATTGCTTTTAAGAAATGTAGGTGAATTTATTCCATTTGCTGTTACTTTTGAATTAGATCAATATTTCTTCATAATATTTTCGAAATTTTATTCTTTTTTTGCTCATAAATTATTCACCAACATACATTTTGCTTTTCACCATGTCAATTAAATTGATAAAAGGTTTTTGAAATTTATCTAGGGAAATTAATCCAACTTAAAGGTTCTAATAGATAAATTTTAATAAGAATAATGAATGTAAAATATTTTAGAGAAGAATAGAGCGAATTTTTTTCAAAGAAGATTTTGTTCTATTAAAAATAAAAAAATAAAAAAATGAAAAGTAGTAAATGATGGAAGACTAGTCGATAAACAAGTAGAGAAAGATAGCGAAAAAGTAAGAAAAATATAGGGGATGTTTTTCCTGTGGTTCAGGGGGTGGAGCTTGAAAATAAAATGATAACGAGCACGTCCGGAAAAAAGTCTGCTTATTACGTCACGCTGAACGCAGTCACTAATTAGTTACATTCAAAGCAACGTGAGCAGGTAGGTCGAGAGCAGAGTGGAGTAAAGAGATGATGGCAAGAACCAAGGCTGTTGCTATTGCGACTATGTGGAGCTGAAATTTGCTTCCCATCGTGAAAACGAAAAGGAGACGCCGTCATTATTCGCAGGTAGATAAAAAACAACGTACCCACCTTCATCATTTTTTGTTTCATTTTTCCTCGCTTATTCCTCATCTCTATCTTCCTCTGTATCTCCCAGCCATTCTACTCCTTTTTTCATCTCTTCTTCTGAATTTATCGTGTGCGTTCTCAGCTTCCCATACCCGCATATCTTTCTCTTTTTTCCACTTTCATTTCTCTTCGGCATTATACCTTTGGCCTGAAATTAAAACAAAAATAAATAAGAGATGAATATAAGTAAAATGAAAATGTTTCGTAGGTTGAAAGGTTTTATCTTCTTTAGATGTTTTGAAATTGGTATTGCTATTGTATATTAATTAGTCGCCATATTTAATTATAATTCTCACTGATAATTAAACATTTTTATCATATATTTGAAATTAAAAGAATTAAAATTAGAATAATTTTAATATCTTTTAGTAATTCTGTTATAAATGAGTTGCTTTTTAATTTAAAAAAATTAGGAAAGGTTCATTTATGGTGGAAATATTTAATGTTGATATTGTGAAGAGTCTGATATGTAATCAAAATCAATTGAAGTACTAAAATGATCGAATTAATAGGACGAAATTTTTCGAGTAGTGAAGCGACTTGGTCTAATTAAAAGCTTGTCCAATCCGCTTAACTAGTCAGTCGGGGATGAGCACCTTGAGGGATTAACAACAATCTCGTGGTAATTATCACGACAGCGAACTTTAAGCTCTACTTTTCTCTTAATTTTTTTATTACAAACTTCATTTAAAACAAAAAATGCCTTCGGGTTTATTATATAAGATTAAAAACTTTATTAAAAGAAAAGTTAAGACAGATATGTATTGGATTTCAACATTAAAGGTAATCCAACTAATATTTCCCGTTACTTCAGTACAATTTGTTCCTGATCCTGTATTTTCTTTGTTCGTTGACTGTTGAAAAAATTCGATAGTAATTTTTCTCAGACGATTACTTGAGTTAATTGAGCAGTTTGATAGATCCATTGAGTACTTCTTTCCGACATTTGTCTCTTAGTTTCTCTCACAACTCTCATTGTCTTTTATTCTTTCTATAGATTTAAGTACCCACAAGAATCTGTGAGCAACGCTGTATTTTTCTCAGACGATTAGATCATTCCAGACAACAATTATTGCCAATTTGGTAATGCAATACCTTTTTTTTTTTTTTCTATTTCAATATATAAGTCATTGGGTTCTATGAAACCCACAATTAAGTGTCTTTAATTATGGTAACAACATATCAGGTGGAACTGATCACAGCGATGGAAAAAAATTTTAAATTAAAGATGCTGTCGACTGATGTCAGCACTTTGAGCTACTTTAGGCTACTTTCTATACGAGAAACACTCGTTTTACATTTTAACGTAATCATGAATTCGTAATAGGTTAACAAAAAAAATCCCAAAAAAAGAATGATCACTTTTACAACGAGCACTTTAAAACGATGTGAACCAATCGAATCGATTGCAAATTTTTTTTGATGTTAATTGTATGAAATTAACAGTTTAAAACCTGTCAAAAAGACTTTCAAAACTCTAATTAACGTAGTTATGTAAAAAGAGTATTTTTACTCGCAGATGTAAGACAATCTTTTTTCCTAATAAGAAATAAAAATTATAAAAATACTTTAATGACCATTGGAAATTCTGTAATTGCATTTCTTTTTAATAATATATCAAAGTTTTCGAATCAATCAAAGTGAGTTCAAGTCTTCAATTACGGTTGTGATACTTAAAGTATTAGAAAAGAAATAAAAAATTCCATTTTATTGTATTTTATTTGATGAGTTAAGTCTTTTTTTTTTAATTAAAATGCAAAGGCGATTACTTTATTGCAATTCGTTATTCTTTTTATTGTGTAATTACGTACTTTCCTTAGAATATTATAGTATTCAAGTATTATTGTAGTTTATTTTCCTAAAAAAGAAGAAGTAAAAATTTTTCAATAGAGAAAAAAGTCAGAACCGCAATTTTTTTCGTAATATTGAGCGTCGAATGAAAGTGAGACATTTCTTTATGTGTTAACGAGACTCTCTAGCATAGTTGGTAAAAGATGGGTAACATGAAAAAAGACTGAGAAAAAGGGAGTTAGGAAAGGCGAAAAACAGAGAAAATGAAAGTCGAGCAAACGAGCACGCGAAAAAAAAAAGAAAAATGAGTGAAAAAAGGTGGAGGGTGTAAGAACGTAGGATGGACATAGACAAAGAGAAAAATACTCGCACTTTAGTTGACACGCACTAGTATGTGTCTCTGTGTAAAAAAACAAGAAGTCTCTTGTGGCAAAGAGATGAGAGTCATAACAGAAAGGTGTATGGGTGTTCTCTTTTATCAAAAACCATTCACATACTTTACACCCTTCGTGTTTTATACGCATCTCCGGATATTTTCAAAAGTCACCACGCCAGAATATACTCTCTAGCTTCCTTAAAATTTATAGATGAATGGATGTACATTTCTGTATCTCCTTGAGGGAGATAAATTTCAAAATATCATACTCTGATGATCGAACATGATGATTCTGTAAACAGTTTCATGTAGATATTTTTTTCCAGATAAAAATGTTTTCATAAAAAAAAAAAAATTTATCAGCAAAATAATATATTCACAGTGCAAATTGCGCTAAAATTTTTCGTGATGAAGCAACATTTACCCAACTATAAATTTAAAACAACACTTTATTAAAATTGGAATCAATAAATTTCATGCTAGAAAGTATATGAATAATTAACAAAAAAAGAATTAAATTATGATGTTTTATGATTATTTTGCGAATAAATAAATATTACTCATTACGATATTTAATTAAAATTAATATTTGTTGAAGTAATTTAATAAAACTTTTAATTATCAAATAATTATTAAAAATTTTAAGTGCTAAAGTTCTTCAAAAGTTACCTAATTAATAGAAGATTAAAAATGTTTTACATCTGTTTCAGACATTCTCATTATTTCCAGTGTCATTTTTATATTAAAGGAATGTTTTTTTTTTTTTTATAAATAATCCTCGGATCTATATGTAAATCTACATAACGAATAAAATAAAAAATAAATGAAATAAGAGAAATAAATAAATTGAAAGCTTGAGTTGATGATGCTTTCAAGAAGATCATATAAATTGTAGATTTTATTAATGTCTCCTGTAAAAAAGACTAGCTCTTTCAACATGAAGCAGTTCTTGTGTAAACACATAAAATATCTCATTTTAAATCACCTTATTACTAGAAATAATTGAAAATTATTAATCCTATATTTAAATAAGATAAAAAGTTAAGTATTAAATTTATAAATTCATTTATTGATTCATTTCTCTTAAATAAACGTTGAAAATACGATTTCTTATTATTATTTCTCGAGCTGCTATCACTTTCATTTTGACTTGTCATTTTTCATCATACTCTCTTTTTATACTCCTTTGTGACAGCACCAGGAAGATGAATACGATAGATTCGCCAAATTCTTATCTTGAATAGGGAATTCATCGATATTTCATTTTTGCGAAGAATCTTCGTATTAGAATTTTTCATGTTATTCAGAAATTTTCAATAAAATTTTAACAAAAAATCTATTTGACTTTCATTCATTCATCTTCTTCTACTTCACCAACTTCAC